TGGGACAGGCTTCTTTGTGCTGGCGACTATGTCAGGCTCTACAGTGAGCTGCCGGGGGGGCTTTGCTGGAGGCATTTCTTCTGTTGTACAAAGGTCTTTGGTCGACAAATCTGAAGCCACTTGTTCTAAAGTACTGGCCTCTTTCTTGTCTGTTAAGTCCTCATTTTTGGATGTTTCTTTCTGTGCTTCAGTTTCATCCATTTTATGGTCAGCTGCATTTGTTACTTTTGTTAGTTCAGGAGTTTCCTGTTTCTCAGAAGCAAACAAAGGCTTCCCAGACTCCAACTCAGTGTCCTTGCACACACTCTGATACACCAGTTCTCCAGGGTCTTCTTGTAATGGTATTTTAGTAGCTAACACTTCTGGAATACTATTAATGATACCTGCTCCAGAAATCCAAGCATTTGCATCTGAAGTTGGAACAGTCAGATCTTCTCCTCTAGGATCTAAAGAATCATCATCTAGTTGTTGTGCTTTCTGGCTTTCTTCTATAATACTGTCGATAATCTAAAGAAACAAACCCAAAGCATTCCACTGCAGATGAACATTCTTACTAACATCAAGGACAAATTCTAACCTATGTAAATGTCAGGATGAAGACTGCTTATTCAATTATTTAATATTTCTAGTGTGATGCTGGAAGCACAAAGCATCAAAATTAAATACTAACCTCTTTTGAATCATCTTGTTTTATTTCTTGAACAAAGGTTTCATTTCCAGTTTTGTGTATCTTGCTGTCCACATCCTATGGGAAGAAGACGTAAGATGATGGTAGTTCTTCAGTAACAGCCAATAAAAATACAGCTGCACCACATTAAATAGCACGAAGGACAAGACTTCAGCTCCATTTGCACACATTGTGCTGTCACAGATGTTTGAACAGCAATGTACAGCCCAGGTGAGGAGTATTTCACACCTCCATTACACAGAAAGCCTGCACACTCTAAACAAAAAAGCAGTTCAAGTGGTTTCAACCCCAACAGAACTAAAATGGAAGCTAGTATGAAGCTTGGAGAAACATACACATTTCATCATCAGTAATAAGTCCATATTAACATATCTCTTTATCAGTTTGTTGAAAGGATGCAGGAACTGTGTTATCACCACATGTAATAGAAACCTCGTTAGAAATCTGCAGGTTAAGTCAGGCAGATCTATCAAGGGGTCACAGATATGCTTTTGAGGTTTTGACATGGAATCTTAACATTTCACAATTATCCATAGTGCACACTGTCTATTTTAGTCACTATCTTCATGCAGATCCTTCCAACATCTAAATAAACTGCTCTAGAACAAATGGAATGACTGGATTTAAGCAAAACCCAAGAACATTTGGATGAAAGACTGCATGAATATTCAAAGCTGAGTATATTGTTGATTCATATAAATATAATCAACACTCCCAGGATATTATAGTACTGCTGTAAAGTCAGCTTCAAGTTGAAGAAGTGTAGTTTTGAGATGCACAAACATCATCAACACTTTGGCACATCCTACCAAACAATTTGCTAAAGGTGGCCTTGTGTACCAAAATAATGTAGAAAATACCCTTGTAATAGTTTGAAGTCTTGTTTATTTTAAACAAACAAAATCCACAAATCCCACAGTTAAGGTAACCAGCCCTAGGAATCAGGAATATTAGAGTTAGGTTACAATTTGGGCATGTCAAGCATCTCAAAGTAGAGACAACTCGAGATGTGTCCAGTCAGGTTTTGACTATATCCAGGAATGGAGACTGGATGTGATCTCAGAGGAACTTGTTCCCCTCTTTGACCATGCTGCACAGGCTATTTGGTGAGCAAAGCTGCAGGTAAAAGCCTGTATTTGTCCCACAAAAGAAAAAACTATTCACAATTGGCTCAAAGAATTTAGTTACTGAGCTGAAAACATTAAGAAAAACCAAACACCTCAACTTACATCTTAAGGCCAGGTTGGACACAGGGGCTTGCAGCAACCTGCTCTAGAGGAAGGTGTCCCTGTCCGTGGCAGGGGGTTGGAACTGGACAAGCTTTAATGTCCCTTCCACACAAACCAGGCTGGGATTCTATGATGTGTTGATTCCCTGAGCTGAGATACAGAACTGCTGCTCTACTCCTCCTTTCTGTCTACAGACCCACAACTCTGCTGCTGAAGTCACCAGTCCTAAACCGTTAAAGTCCCCAAAGGTTGGCTTAATACCATTATGAACTATTTTTGTTACACTATTAATTTAATTCTGCCTCTACAGCTTTCGATATGTACAAGACACCTCATGTCCACATTAAACAGGTAATTTAAAAGACCTCCCCATATTTTCTTGGTCTACAAAGAAGATTCAGAGTGACAGATAGCTCAGAAATTTCTCCTTAATTCTTTTTAGACACTCATCTAATCAAAGAGAATCTTGATACATATTATGTTTGGAGAAAACCACACAGCTCTTGCAGACATCCATCCTGGAGTTCTGACCTCAAGATACAGCATTATCATGCAGAGAGCTGTGATTACAAGTTTCTCTAATCCAAATGCAAGTTCTGTTTTGCTTTAGCACTAAAATCTCCCTTCAGAGGTGCGAGGACTGAAACCCTCTAGTGCAATCAGTACCTACAGAGGCCATGATATTGATTTCTAATTCTGTTGACACAAACCTCACACCCCTGTTAAACTTTGGACTTGGGAAATATTTCTTGCCCATTCCAAGACAAACGATACTATTAGTCACACATTCACTGAACTGATACTGTACCAAGCAGAGAAGCAACTCCTTTTTCCACCTTCAGAAACTTAGCTTGGAACAAGTGACTTAAAAAGATACTTAACCCCCCCCCCAAAAACTCCTACAAGCAACATACAGAACTCCATAGCTAATAATTCAGTCAAAATATTACAGTTAGCTTTGAAGTTCACTGACTGCAGCGGGTTCAGTCAGAATCACAGGGCACTATTTTGTGAAAGGCCTACACATGTGGTACTTAATCACTGAAGGGACATCAAACAGAACACGAAATAGGAGCTAAGTCTCTGCTCCATATGAGATACCGTAAGATATGGTACCACTGCAAAAAGATTCTTGATTCAGAGCAGAGTGCTGCTGACAAACCAGAAACACCCTTTCGACTAGGATTTCCCAATACTTTGAGGATGGAATGTCAAGCCTTCTTTATGACAATGTGTTGCACACTATCACCTTTGTCCCTTCTGAGCCCAGGAAATGAGTGGTTGCTGTACAAGGTTCCAACTCCTCACCTAGTTGATGCAGGCCAGCCTCAGCTGCACTGTTACCATGCACAGATGCAGCATACCAAGTACCTGCGTGGGACGTGGCAGCGCTGGCTCATTAAGTTAAATATAGTGTTTTATCTTCACGTAACCTCGAGGGGAGGCTTTGCAAGTACAAACCCTAAGGTTTTTCTTATTTTGAAGACAGAAGAGAGCAAAGTCAACTATTTCATATAAATAACCAACATCCAAATGCTGCAGAGACTTGCTTACTACTCACAAACCACTTGAAAGAGGGCAGTCTAGTAACTGAGTCAATTCAATTGCACATATACATTCCAGAATAAAATTAGCTTCAAGACATGTTAACATACCCTAAATAAAGGTAAAGTTCAAGGAACTTCAAGAGGCATAAGCACAACAATTGCTACCTACAACGAGGAAAGCCTGTAATTTCCCACCTGCAGATGTTAGGGCTCCCATAGCACATCTACTTCAGGTAGAAATACTCAGCCCTGGGTTCAGCAACAGCATGTGATTGATTTTAAGAAGAAACTCACCTTTAATACATGGGATCCAACTTTTGTTGGTGACCTGTTAGAAAGAGAATATGAGACTTAGAGTGCAAAGAAAAAAGATCTCTGGACAGCAAGCTTCACCTTAAACTGGCTGAAATACAGTCTTGCTCTACAACAAGTGTTGACTTGATATTTGAATGAGCACAGGGGAAGTTTCTCATACCACTCCTTTACTCAAGTAGAGTTGAATGCCCAACTGTGTCTACAACACACAGATCCACAGCTTCCATAGTCCCTGGAAGTTTCCAGGCAGAATCTTCTACAAGTCCTATTTCCACCATCCTTTCCTAATAAACTGATGCTATTCCAAGTACATGTTTAAAAACAGAGTTTAAAATTGGCATGTACAGGAAGCACAGGGTGGACATCAAAGAAACCAAAACCCTCAGAAAGCAGAAGTACCAATGCTCTAGTGGCTTGTAAACCAAGTGCCTGAGCCCTGATCTGCACAGTCAACACCATCACAGCCATTCTGACCTTCAGACTCACACAAGAGTAAGGTATTGCTTCTAATCATGACATTCAGAATAAACATCAGTATTTACATTATAACAGGAGAGAACTAGGTTTGCACTACTTCTCAAAACACATCCTGGGCAATGGGGAATGTACAGTAGCATCCACTCACACACAAGCCCTCATGGCACTAATTACATGAAAGAACAAGGTGTCCTAGGGGAACAGTACCAAATAATTACTGCTCCTCAGGTCACCGCTCACTCTGAGCACTGAACAGTCAACTCTCCCTATATCCTGAACTTATATTTTCCATGAGATTTGCAGAATTCTACAAGATATTCAAATACTGAGTCACACTGACTACAGGGCCGTCTATATAGGGAAGTTGAAAGGTTGGGCCACAGGATCTTCTGAGGTTCCTTCCACACCAGCCTGCTCCAGTAACAGCGGTGACAATATAACACAGTGCTGGGAGCCCTGTATGGCACACATATACCTCTGATGTTGAAGCTTTATCACTGAAGCTTTTGAAACAGTGCAAAGCTTCTACACGTGTTTGGCAGTAACACCACGTTCAGATCAGTTCCTAACAAAGCCAGTAAGTTCAATGTCTCGCCTGAGCCTATTTGAGCTCCGTGTTTATAAGCCCCAGCGCTCCCTTAGCTGTGATTAGCTGCTGCTTCTGTGCTCTTACATTTAGAAAGACAGATACAGAGCAAGTTTTGTAACTGCAGCCTCTTCAGTTCCTCAGGGAAGTAACTGAACTTCCCTCTGGAATGGTCTTGCCTTCCAGCCTTCCCCACTCCCCAGTTTTACTTTAAGGCCACTGGTTTTACAGATGCATATCTGAAATGCTTGCATTTTTAAAAAGAATACATATGGTGGCAAAAGCATCTGAAAATATTTATATGAAGGTCAAGCAAACCTTGATTTTGCTTTGAAAGATCTGCAGCTTTCCAGGGTTATCAGGCAGAACAGGGAGACTGACATATGCCACAGAAAACATAAGGGAAACACCTTAATTTTCTTGCCTAGTATTACTGTTAACAGTGGGATTTAAAAGTTGGTAACAATAGAGCCTGTAAACTACATTCACATGTAACACTCCTCACTTCAGTTTTCTTACATGACACCCCTGTAACAGCAGTTTAACAGAGGAGGGGTTCAAGGTTATCTCCAAATATTAAACAAAACTCAAAGAAAACTCCCATTTCACCTGCACAAACATAACCAGGTGCCTGGTCAAGCTCAAGCCAAATACACCCATTAAGAACTGTTTTAACTATTATTGATTTATTCAGCTGTCCAATTCACCCTCACCCTGCCCAGACTTTAGGAAGCTGCCAAAAAAACAGATATCTCCACCCTGGCACCTGTTTGAACCAAGCCTCACATTTTCAACTACCAAATGTCAAATAAACCATTCAGCCCTTCAAAACCTCCTCAGTGATAGGAATGCCCTGCTCAGACCCAGGACCACCCTGCCTGCTCTCCTGGGACATGCACTCTGTTACAGAGGCTGTGCTGACAGGCAGGAGGTGTGAGGCGTGCACAGAGCAGCAGCACACTGCACAGCACACACAGGTTCAGCCGCCAGCCCAGGAAGAGCATTTCCTGCTGTCCCTCCACTTGCACACGATGAGTTCTCTCTATAACCTGTGGCTGGCCTGGAAGCTACAATTACTCTTGCTGCAGCTCTCTGTGGCAGCCCACACCTTCCAAACCACAAGGATTCACTACTGCAGTGCCCTGCTCAGGCTGCCCTTGGGAAGCTAACTCAGACGCAAGTCCCTGCAGCAGTATCACCAACACTTCACGCTCCATCACTCTGCTGCCAAGATCAGTTTTGCATGTTGGCTGAAACACACACAGAAAGAAAAGTTAAGCATGTTCCATGTGTCCACAGGGCACAACTTAACACCAGTGAGCTTCCTGAAGAAAGGAGAACTAGATTCTTCAGGAAAAGCATGGAAGCAGCTTCAGACACGACTACCGAAGACAGAATTCAAGAACTGAGATGAAGGTACTACAGGATATTTCTCATGATCTACACAGTATCTCAAATCCAGCGCCTTTTGTTTGGTTTCTTAGAAGAATTTTTAGGATGTGAGTACATTAGGAACAAACTTGCCCCTTACTGTTAGACATGTGATGTCCAAACCATTGAGTCTGGCAGCTCTTGGTTTCTTAGGGTGGGTGGATCACTTCTCTTTTAAAGAACATCTCAGAGGGTCTGTCCCACACCTGCATCCAAACAAGGGTGCCTCAGACTGTCCTTCTCTCAGAACTGACATCCTCCTTCATGGGACAGCTCAGTCTCTGAATTACAGGGTCTTTTTCTAAACCTCTTCGTGGTTACAGCCTTTTGAAAGCAGAGTGACAGAGGTTAAATAAGGGCATCTTCTGTCACACCACCTTCTCCACTCCTCTGACTGCACAGATGCCTTCACCAACCAGCCCACAGAGGCAGCTCAATCTCTCTTCTAGGGGCTAGAAAAGCTCATAGAAGCAAACCTTGTTTGGGACCATGTTATCTGACAGACACACATCTTGTCAACAGTAGAACTGCACGTCAAAGGCAAGATCTACCACAGAAGTGCAGCGTAAGGGCCTAGCCAGAAGGGACGCCGTGGTTTCAACACACTTCACCTCACAGATCCAAGAGAGCTACCTCAGTCCACTACAACCTGAAAGAAACATTTTGTAATGAGTTCTGTGATGTTTGCTGCTTAATTCTTAGAAAGCACCAGTTATATCTGCACTTGAGCATGCAGATATGGTGCTTTTCATGAGAGGGGCTTAAGCATCAGCACCTATTGATTACAGGGGGAATTACGAGCTTGCATCCAACTTGCAAACTCCACTCTTGCACAGCAGGAAACAATAAAACAAATCAACGACAAAGAAGTCAGCAGGTTACAGAAACAGCTGAATTTATCAGCACTTATTAAACTCCCCCACATGCAAGTTGGAGGGCAGGGGAAGCTACAGACCCCACATTTTTAATGATGGCAAAGGTATCTACACCACTTTGTGGAAAGCATATGCTGCCAAAGTGGGTTCCCAAGGGGCTTTGCTGATGATCACCAGAACACAAGGAAATGCCTCCAACTGCAGAAGGCAATATGAGCCTGTTTTCAGTTGCTCCTTCTCCCATGAGAATGTTTTGACTTGTTTTGTGGGTCCCAACTCAATGCCATTACACCTGCCTGGGTCTCAAAAGGACAACTGACAACCCTGCTTCTGAGAAGCACCCAACTTAAAAGCTAATGTGAAATTAATGGGAAATTAGCTCTTACGAAATCCCAAAGCTTATTTAAGAGAAAATACTCTCCATGTTGTTAGCACAGCTTCAAGAGCAGACTGAATTACAGATTCAGTACCTGCACTGCAAACTAAGCCCTCTGAGACCACCTCCTTAGCCAACTCAAGCCGACAGAACTCTATTAACTAGAGTCAATGACATATCCTCAGAGGTTATGGAAGAGCAACAGAAAAGTTAAAAGCATCTTCCACTTTAATTGCTAGTGAGTGACTTTGAGTTATCAAGTTCTGCTTAGGTACAGGTGGTGGAGACCTGCAAAGTCAGGACATGAGCAGCCAGGATGTGCACTTGGACCACACTGAATGGCTGGTTCCCCCTTCTTGCCAGGCAAACCCATCACCCTCTCCCGTCCCCACCCTGCCAGGTTCCAGCTGTTTAACTTCTGGGATAGCTTTTGCTGTTTCTAGTTTTCAGCTCTTTGCAAAGACTTTGAGTTACATCAACTCATAGGAGAGCTTCATGACTGCTAGTGCCAGGGCAAGGCAAGCAGCGGGAGCAGAACCTCATTCCAGCACGAGCACTGTTAATGTGCTCGCCACATTTTGCAGAACCATACTCTGGGATGTGCTTTTCACCAGGCTACATAAAAACCTAAGTTCAGGAAAGCTTTTGTACAGGATGTGTAGATGAGAAGGAAAGATGCAGTCCTTCCTTTGTTCCAGGCATTCAATGACCACTGACAGATTAAAACAAGCCCTTACTCAATTATTGAAGCTTCAAATGGATGGAGCCCACAATCCATATCTTATTGCTCTCTGGACAAGCTACACAAAACCTTATCTGACAAGGTCAAGCAATGGATTGGTTGGTCTAGACCACATGAAAATGGAAGTGATACAAGCCAGACCCTGCTCAGCACAAAACCAGAAAGAGATATGTACAGTTTAAAAGGAGGGAGTGTATCTGGCCAACATCAACAGCGCTGAGACACACAGAACCTGAGGTAACCGCGCGAGGAACCTACGCTCCAAACCGCTGTTCCACGTTCACTGCACAGAACCGTGCCCTGCCCAAACACGAGCAGCATCAAATCCACACCATGAAAACCAAAGGAGGGAGCACGCTGGAAGCAGTCGCACACGCAGCAGCCTGTTGCTGGAGAAGCTCCGCTCTCTCCGTTTCTCCTCAGAAAACCTGCTATTTCGGGGTATTGACGGGTCAGCTCCGCCAGCCCCGATGTCACCTCC